ATGGCCTAGGACATGAAGCTTCAACAGGAAATTAACAACAATTAAAGGAACATTTGTTAGGTGTCTACTACATGCTGAGCACTGTGATCAGTGCTGAGGAAGACACAAAAACTGCCATCCCTGCCCTTAAGTAGTTTATCATCTACTGGTAGTAGTCTGTACTCCCATGGCTACCAGCCATCATCTTTTCACCTCATCACCTTATCCAGAGCTATTCCAAGAGCCTCATAACTAGTATCCCTGCCTACATTGGCTCTTTTCTACAATTCATCCTCCAAACAGCTGCCAACTTGATAAGATTGATAAGAAAAGGTCCAACCACATCATATTACCATGCTCAAGAAGTATCAATATCTCCCTATCACCTCTGGAATAACATACAACCTCCATTTGCTAGTTCTTTGTTCCTTAAAAAACCTCCATGATTTGGCTTCACTTTTTATTTCTAGACTTATTTTGTCTTACTCTCATTCATTTACTTTGTGTTCCAGTCAAAGTGGAATACTTTCTGTTCACAACAATCAATCCCGTAACTTTAGGCTTTTGTAGAAACAACTGATTGACCTTCTACTTGGAATGCCTTCCCTCCCCACCTTCACCTCTGGCAACGTTTGACTCCTTTCAAAGTCTCACTCAAGTGCTGCCATGTATATACACAAGTGCCAATCACTTCCAGTTGTGAGTGCTTTTCACCAGCCCAACATCTCTTCTTTTCCTTAGCCTGTAAATGTTATATCCAGCCAATGGAATGTAAACTCTCAGAGGACAGGAACAGTTTCAATGTTGTCTTTGTTTATCCACAGGTTAGCACAGTGTCTGACACATAGCAAGCTTTTAATAAATGCCTATTAAAATGAATTCAATTGAATTGAAGAGATAAGCATGGACACCAATAGCTATAATATAAGATAGAACTTGATAGATACATAAGAGAGATACAAACAAAGTAATGGCAGAGTTCTGTAGAAGGAAAGGTTATTTCTGACTGAGGGAATCAGAGAAGACTTAATGGATTCAGTGAAATTTGAGTTTGAATTTGAAGTATTAGTAGGTTTTCACCAGGCCAAAAAAAAAAAATTAGGGGAATGGTATTCGATTGAATTTAATACACAAAAGGTGCTAGGGGTATAAAATCAAAATAGTCCCGGCCTTCAAGGAACTCCAGGTCTATGACTATAAGCATACAGATAAGTAAAATAACAGGTCTGGAAAGATAGGAGCTAGGGACAGATACAAAATGCCCTGGAGGTATTTGTAGATACAGTTAACACCATTATCTGGCCAGAGCAGAGAAGGTTCTGCCAAGGAAGCAGCACCTGACCTGACCTGACCCTATAGGAAGATAATGCAGAGATTAGGTATGAAATGTTAAGTATGGGCAAATCAAATAGCACATTTTTGCTAAAAAAGCAGAGTACATGAAGGGAAGAAGGTAACAAGCATTTGTTAAGTGCCTCCTATTTGCCAGGCACTGTGCTGAGTACTTTACAAATAGTATCTTATTTGATCCTTACAACAACCCTTGGAGGTAAGTGGTTATTATACCCATTTTACAGATGAGGTAGGCAGAGGTACCCAGGGTGATGCAGTTTGCGCATGTCTGAAGCCAGATTTGAACTCAGGATAAGGACTTGAGCTTGAATCTTGACTCTGCAACTCATTCCCTGTGTGTCCTTGGGTAAGATATTTAACCCTTCTGGACCTTAGTGTCTTTATCTAAAAAATGAAAGGATTAGAACAGATGAATGAATGAATAAATGAATGAATGAATGAATGAATGAACAAATGAAAAATGTCATAAAGGCTTATAGTGCTGGTGCACTGGTAACATTAAGCAACCAGCAGCTCTGATTTTCCAGATTACAGCCACTTTGAACACTCTCTGAAGATCTGGTTCAGGCTCCCCTCAACTGCTTCATTCAATACTGACCTTCATTTGTCCCAAAGTCTGCTGTGTTATTCAAAGGATGAAACTGCATATTCTCTAGTCTCTACCAGGCCTACATGAATGAATACAAAGCAGCATAAAGATACTGTTATTGCATATATGTATGTATGTATGTATGTATGCCTGAAAAGTTACAGGCTGAAAAGCATTGCCCTTAACTTGGCTTTGTGATTTTAAATGGCTATTTTGCTTAATTACAAATCAAGAAGGAGTGCTGCCATGTCATGGGATAATTAAAATAGGAATGGGTTTACCAAATTTAAAATATATAAGCAACGAAAAATATATATCAACTGTAGGGAAGAACCAAATTATTAACACAGGAGTTAGATGTACCCTTACTTGTTAAAATAGGTTCTGACCAGGAAGGAATAAGAATTCACAGATGATGGGGCAGCTAGGTGGTGCATTAGATAGAGCAACAGTCCTGGATTCGGGAGGATCTGAATTCAAATCTGACCTCAGACACATAACACTTACTAGCTGCATGACGTTGAGCAAGTCACTTAACCCCATTGTCTGACAAAAAAAAAAAAGGAATCCACAGATGACATGGTTTTATTCATTTGTTCATTCACTCACTCAGTAGTTACTAAATGCATATCACTATACTAATAGTGAATATAATAATAATAATGACTAATGTTTATATAATACTGACTATGTGCCAGACACTGTTAAGTACTTTTTAACAAATATTATCTCATTTGATCCTCACAACAACCCTGCAAAGTAGGTGCTATGATTATCCCATTTTTGCAATGAGGAAACTAAGACAAACAGGTTAAGTGATTTGCCCAGGGTTACAGAGCTAGTTGTGGGGCAGCAATGGATAGAAGAGGCATGGAGTCAGGAATGCTCATCTTTTGAGTTCAAATTTGGCCTCAAATACTTTGTGACTCTGGGTAAGTCATTTAACCCTGTTTGCCTCAGTTTCCTCATCTATAAAAAGAGCTGAAGAAGGAAATGGCAAACCGCTCCAGTATCTTTGCCAAGAAAACCCCAAATGGGGTCATGAAGAGTCGGACATAACTAAAATGACTGATCAACAACAACGACAAAGCTAGTTAGTGTCTGAGGTTGGATTTGAATTCAAGAATATGAGTTTTCTTGACCCCCAGGCCTAAGCCCAGCACTCTATCCACTGCACTACCTGATGTAAAATTTGGTAAAGGTAAATACTAGCAGCTGACATTTCTATAGCACTTAAGTCACATGAAGGGCTTTACATACATCATCTCATTGATCCTCGCAACAATCCAGTGAGATGAGTGTTATAGGTATTATTATGGTCATTTGACAGATGTGGAAAGAGAATAACAGTGAGGTGTAGTTACTCAAACATAGTCACAAGGCTATTAAATATTAGAGTCAGGGATCTGAGCAGGGGAAAAGAGCAATTCTGCCTGAGGTTATCAGTGAAAGTGTTAGGAGTAGATGGAGTTTGAACTGCATCTGAATGAATTTAGCAAGTAGACATGGTTGAGGAGGAGGGGGAAGTGTGTATTCCAGGTGGAGGGAATGCCACGATTAAAGATAAAAAGGCAGAAGAGCGCAAGAAATAAGAATGAGTAGTCCAATAGGGGCTCAAGTATTATGAGAGGGAGTAGTGATAGAGTTGGTTAGAGAGGTAGTTGAGAGAATACCTTAGAGAGCCTTGAATGCCAGGTTAGAATCACTGAAGATTCTGATGGGTCATTTGTCCAGCAAATACTGTGCAAAGCACTCCACTAGGCACTGAGACACAGAAATGAATAAAATACTCAAGGAACTTACAGTTGCCTTCCACAAGGATTAAACTGCATTGAAGTGAACTTTAAGTAGGAAGTTGTAGGGTTGTTTCAGTCATATCCATGACCCTATTTGATGTTTTCTTGGCAGACAGACTGGAGGGATTTGCCATTTTCTTCTCCAGCTCATTTTATAGATGAGGAAACTGAAGCAAACAGGGCTGTGTGTGCCCAGGGTTACACAACTAATAAGTATCTCAGGCCAGGTTTGAACTTTGATCTTCCTGACTCCAAGCCCGCTTTTCTCTCCAACGTGCCAGCCTAGCTGCCCTTCCTCAGTAGTAAAATGAGGGCGCTGAATAAAGAAGATCGCTAAGATCCTTTCCTAGGATCATAGATTTAGAACTGGAGGAGACTTTAGAGGTCATCTTGTCCAGCATCCTCATTCTATAAACAAGGAAAGTGAGGTTCTGAAGCCGTGAAGTGATTTGCTCAAGGTTATATAAGCAATAAATGGAAGAGTTCGGATCTGACCCCAGTACCTCTGAGTACAAAGTGAGCAGTTTTCTGCTGCACCGCACAGTCTCCTAAAATCTTAAACTATTTAAAAAAGAAGAAAAAGGATCTAGGCTTGAGTGGCAAGCAGAACCAGCAGAATGTAAAAATGTAAGCAGGGCTCATAGAACATAAGCTCTTTGAGGGCAGGGTGCTTCATCTTTGTCTTTGTATCTACTTTGACTTGCACATAGCAAATGGCTTTAAAAAAAATCCATTGAACTTAATAAAATAGTCACTAATCCATCTACGTGCAAAATAAAATTTTAAGTCATTTTAATTAATCATTTTAATTGCCTTATGTACGATGCATAGTTATCATGTTTCATTAAAATTTCACAACCAAAGTTTATTTTTAAACACTTGGCACTAGAGAATCTGAAAGGCGTAAATGATAAGAGTTACACTTATGTTGAGGTAAAGAAAGCTTTATTTAGAAAGAATAAAAGGTAAATGATGGAAATGGAAACATACCAAAACAGTGCAAGGAAATAAGGATGGAATTTATAAGTGTTTAAATTTTAAAATATTTACTTGTATGCCACCCTAGAAATAACATTTGCAATAAAAATGCATGAGGACAAAATGATTTATTATATAAACTGGATGGATTAGTCTAGATAATTTCTAAAGTCTCTCAATTCCAGCATTCTAAAGTTCTATTTGAAAGTCTTCGGGTGTACCAAGATTGGTTTAATTATTCAATCCTTACAAACTGTGATTCGTGGAAATAATTACTACCAATTGCTATCACAACAAGCATTGGGTTTTTTTTTTCATCTCAATATGTAGTGGTAAATGGAATATGGATTCAGATGAGTAAAATGATGAGAATCCAGGACATCCGATCATTAAGATCCCTCTTCTGAGATGCCGTAAGTGTTTATAGGATTTTGTTTGCATAGAAGAACTGCAGGAGCTCTGGATGGTAGTAGCTCTAAAAGAAAACAATAATAGAGACATGAGTGAGGAGGAGATGCAGGAAAGCTAGCTCTCCCTTTGCAGAAACTATTAACCACAAGAATTGCAGTACATCTATCCAATGTTGAACGTGCCATTGAGCACTCAGACCAGCAGCTAGGGAGCAAATCTGCCTCAGCTCCCACAGGTGGGAAATGCATCAAATTAAACCTAAACCTGGGGCAAAGTCATTAGATATCCACAGATCTCTTGAGGATTGTCCTAAGCGGATAGTAGAAGTGAGATTTACATGAGAATATGTTGCTAGACAATTTGAAACCATTACCTGCTCTTCGAAAACTTACAATGATGCAAGCTGGCACTGCAGGGGGAAAAAGCTTTTAAAAAATTGCTACTTAGAAATCATTTTAATCCATACGTTAAAAATTAAAATAAAATAACTTGGGACTCTCCTAATTCCTTTTGAAATAAGGCATAATTGGCATGAAATCTCTAGCCCTTACGCCATTTGCACAGCATTCTGAGACAATTGCAGATGGCCTAGCAAAGTCTGCACTCTCCTTAAGTTTTCTTCCTGCTCTTTCCCTGGCTCAGCTTTGCCTCTGTCACATTCTGCCTTAGATTTCCATCACTTCTCCCCACTGGGCAATAAATTTCTTTCAGGTTTCAAAATTCCTAGGTTAAGGAGAAAATATTGCAAGCAACAACAACAAAAATTTAAACACTGAAGAAATAACAGTCAGGATTTCACAAGACCTAGCAGCTTCTACTCTAAAGGACTGTAAATTTGGGGAATCATATGTTGAAGGGGAAAAGAGCTGGGGTTGTGTCCAAGAGTAATTTACCCAGCAAAGTTGAGTATAATCCTAAATGTAAAAAAAATAGACATTTGACAAACTGAAAGACTTGCAGGTATTTGTAACAGAAAGATCAGAACTCAGTGGAAAACTTGATATAAAAGATCCAGAAAGGATACTTATTATAAAGCATTCATTAAAGTCAAACTGTTATGAAAATGTTATCAATATTCTTAAAACTGTCATCATTACTAAATCATCATTAAACATTTTTTTTTTGCTTAGGCAATCAGGATTAAGTGACTTGCCCAGGGTCACACAGCTAGTAAGTGTCATGTTGCTGAGACTGGATTTGAACTCAGATCCTTCTCACTGCAAGGCCAGAGCTCTATCCACTGCACCATCTAGCTGCTCCTGATTTTTTTTTTGAGGCAATTGAGGTTAAGTGACTTGCCCAAGGTCACACAGCTAGTAAGTATCAAGTGTCTGGTCTGAGGCTGGAACTACTAAGGTAGTTTGAAAGAAAGTCGGGGCCGAGTTGTACATGATGGGGTGACTCTAAAAAACAAAATTAGGTAGTAAAAGGTAAAAGGGAGCAATACAGGGTGTGAAAATGAAAAGAATCTGAATCTATTTTCAGCTTTGTAATCCCAGCATGAAGCCCACAGTGGGCACTTAAAAGCTATGTAACTGAATAGACAGTATTTGATTTGTGATTTTCCGGTGGAATGGATAGGCCCTTTGTCTAACCAGGACATAGAAGAAGGGTCTCCCTCATTAGAATGCATTCACCTTGAGGCCAGGGACCAAGTATTTACCTTTCTTTTGTGTCCCCTGCTCTTAACACAGTAGGACCTGAAATATAAGTGCTTAATGAATTATTATGGATTGCTTAAGATAAGAGAAAATTCTGCTCACCAACTGCCGATAGAGTTTGGGGTTCCTTTGCTCTTCCTGGGCTTGGATAGTATATTCCAAGGACTCCTTTTTCAATCTCAGGAAAGGGGAGCAAGCATGAAAAGCTGTTCTACAGGCCTAGGAAAAAAGAAGTGGTCACCTTGTCATGTTCAGAGAGTCAGAGGATTTGAGAGTCCTTCATCAGGAGCCAGATGATTCCAAGTCTGGGGAGCCCTGATGAGTCTTCAAGGAAGGGTTTTGCTGCAAGGCTGCAGATCGGGTGGACCTTGGGAGTATCTATGTTTGTCAAGTGACCATGTCTAAACTGTGACTTCACAGGTGAGCTTCCAATAAATGTGTTTTCTCCATTAGTGATGTCTCAGCAAAACCAGGACTATTCTTCCCATACATGCTGATGAGGTAGAAGTGTGGGTTTTATTTGCTGGGCTTTTTGGGAGACTGAGGTAGAGTGGAACAAACAGCAGAAAGAATGGTCCTTGGGCCTTTTGTCTTAAGGGTTAGTAGGGGTGAGGGATAGGGCCCCAGATATGGGATTTCATCGGTGGGGGAAGGAAACTTTTGTACAAGTCATAGTCTTAGAGAGTGACCTAGAACACTGAGAAGTTAGGTAATTTGCCCAGGATCACATAGCCAGTATATGTCAGAGGCAGGTCCAGAACCCAAGTTTCCTGGCTTCCACCCACTCTCTGATTGACAGAAGAAGAAAAAAAAGAATCTGATACCTAGTTTAGTGCTCTATTGATACAGAGGATACCTTTTTGCCCCTGGAACAGACACCTTCAACCCCTGAGGATATGACCAAAGACAGAGGTTGAACCCAGGTTCAGGGCAGTTATATTCCACCCTCCCAGGTGGAATTTTGCAGCATTTTGCTGCAATTGGTTGATTTGGAGGTCAAAGAGACAGACACTCAGATGTTGATGAATTTCTATCATTTAAATATACATTTAATACTCAATATTCACTGTTCAGCATTCTAATACAGCATTCCAATGACTAATATATATAGAAATCTGTGCATCTTTCAGTGGTATATTACATATTACCTAACAATATAAATAATTTAAACTTCATATGGGAACTCTTTTTTCCATGATTTTTTAAAACTGCATCAGGGAAATGGGGGAGGTGGAAGAGTAGAAATATGCAATAACAACTGTGGCCCAAGTTATGGAAAGTGTACAGGTCTCTTCACTACACAGATGGCAGCCCACTGATTAAATTAATTCCATTAACATTGGCTTGTCTAGGATTATCTGGTGTTAGTCTTGGGCTGGCATGGGTCAAGAGAAAATGAGAATTCACAAGAACTTAGAGAGAGATTACAGGCTGAAGAATCAGAAAGATTTTGCTGCTATGGAAATAAGAGTCCTCATAACTGAGCCAGCAGGAGGGCAGTAATTTAAGCACAGGTGGGGGATTACACCATAATGTTCTTTCTGGAGAAAGCAGAGGTTTCATTTTGTGAGTTATTTATTTAGAGTCTTACCGTGGCAACGTGAGGATTTCCATCCCTTAAGTGGACCAGGAGGGAGTCCCTCGTCCTTTTAACCTGGCTGGTGAAAAATTTCTTCCATTTCCACCCAGCAAAGGCAGCCAGTTGCCCAAACAAGATAAATGCTGAATACCTCAAGCTGTCATTTTCCTGTATAGCCACCAGAAGCCAGCCCCACCCCCCAAAAAAAATATATATGTATTAATGAATTAATTCATGTATGATTAAACACCTAGATAAAATGAATGAATAAAGAACAAGTGAGCTTCTTATTATAATCCACCATTGTTATATATAAATGCAATATAAGTGGTCAGATCCATCCCGTAAAAAAAACTCTCAATTTCAAAAGAAAAGGACTGAGAAGTCACAAATACCACCCCCAGTTCTTTAACACCACTGCTCACCACACCAGCTCTGCTTTTCCATATCTAAGATGAGGATAATTATGATGCAATCCAGTTCCCTCTCCTTCCCAATCCAACCGTATTAGTTTGGTGTTTAATTTGTCCCTGAGTCTGCCTCAGAGGACAATGGACTTAAAGAACCCAGAAGGTTTCTGTTCTTCCCTTTCCTCCCAGAGATCAAAGGGAAAATGCACTTGACAAAGAGTGAACTCAGTCAGCCTGGGGCTGTCATGTCCTGAAGATACCTTGGCACCTTGCAGCAATAATAATAACAGTTCATTTCTATATAGCGCTTTCCAGTGTATAAAATATTTTCCTCAAAACAATTTTGTGAGGTCAGAAATGCAAGTATAATGAGGAAACTGAGGCTCGGGGAAATGAGGTGACTTATTTGTGGACACTGTCTGGGTCAGAGAGTGAGCGTGAAGCCAGGTTCAAACCATCTTCCCTTTTTGTAGAGTGGGAATAAAAATAGCTAGCTGTCCCTAACCTCACAGGGTGGTTATGATTCAAATGAGGTCATGTATGTCAAAGTGGTTTCTAAACCTCAAAGCAACATACGAGTATAGATTAATATTATTGTTATTGTTGTTAATATTATCATAATCCCAACTGTGTATTTCCAATTCTGACTACTTTCCCAGAATTCAGTTCTTTATTTCCAACTTTATTTAAGTGTCTCAATTTCATTGTATCCAAAGTGGAACTTAATATTACCAGGCATATACACCTCCAAAATCGACTCTTTGTGTTATTTCTATTTCTACTAATGGTACTCATTCTTCTAGCCAACCTAACCAGCAACTTCAGAGTTATTTTTTTACCCTACCATCTCCCTCTGACCGCCCCCTAAAATCTAAACAGTCACTGAGCTCTGTGGAGCCCTCCCTGAAGACTCTCAGTGAAATTTACTCTCCCTGTTGGAACTGCCACTATTCCAATTCAGATTCTCATTATCTCTCCCCTGTCTGGTCTCTCTTATTCCAATCCATCCTTTATGCCACTGGTTAACATTCTGAAAGCTGACAATATCACTTACCCAATCAAAACTCTTCAGTAATTCCCAATGTCACTGAATTAATTCAATTCAAGGCATACTAGGATCACAAGATCAATGGTTCCAGTGGTGTAAGGGATCTCAGAGGCCATCTAATCCAAACCCCTTATCTTACAAATGAGGAAATTAAGGCCAAGGGAGTTTGTGACTTGTCCAATGTCACTAGTGTCAGACCACAGTTCCAGCTTTATATTCCATTATTCCTCTTCACCTTTTCTATGACCTGCCATGGCCAGACTGTTCACTGCTCTCCAATTATAGCCCATATGCCTTTACTTAGGATGTCCTCCCCTACTGCAAACTCTGAAAGTCTGTGAAAATTTGATCCATCTTTCAAGGACCAGTTCAAATGCCACGTAATACTTTGAACTTGTATCCTTAGCACCTAGGATAGTGCCTAGCACATAGCTGGCACTTAATAAATTTGTTATTCCATCATTCACCTCTGACTCTTCTTAACCCTGTGGACCATAGCATGCCATACTGTGCATGGAGTTTTCTTGGTAAAGATACCGGAGTGGTTTGTGATTTCTTTCTCCAGTGGATTAAAACAAACAGAGGTTAAGTGACTTGCTCAGGGTCACAAAGCTGGTAAGTGTCTAAGGCTAGACAAGCCAGTTATTAATATAATTAATTCACTAAGGGGTCCTGAGACCAAAAAGTTTGAGAACCACTGATATAGGGAATTCCCAGATGAGGAAATTCCCTCTACCAAAGCAGGTCAGGATCTTCTGCACAAATTTTAGTCTTAGAGAGTTGCCTAAAACACTGAGAGGTGGAGGGATTTGTCCAGAGTCACATAGCCACATCTTCCTGATTCCAGACCCAATGCTCTATCCACTAAGCAACCAGCTGTCTCAATAAATACTTGAGTAATTGATCAGTTGCTGTTTAGTGAAGCTTTTGCTGACCTCTCAGACAGAAGTGATCCCTCCTCCATCTGAATCCCTACATTGTAGTTGTGCCTTTCTTATGACATTTATCATATTGTATTTTGGATTATAGTCATTTCTGTATATGTCTTGCTCCCCTTAATAGATTGAAAACTTCCTGACAACAGGAAACATGTCCTATTCATCTTCATGTCCTCAGATCACCTACCAGGATCATAAGCACTCAATGTTTGTTGTACCAGTTAGTGAGTTCCTTATACTCTCTGACCAGCACACCCAGAAACCACAAGTCTTTGCCCTGCTCCCCTCACCATTAAGAATTTAATCATTTGCACTTCTTGAGCTACTTACATCATCTAATAAAGTCCTGGTCTGAAGGGTGATATCTATGAAGAAGGAGCCCAAACCTTTCCCCTTGATCTTGCCCAGGATAATGATCAGTGCCTTCACACTCTCATATATGATCTCAGAACTCACAGGGTCATACAGTCCATGGACCAGTGAGTCTAGCAAAATCTTCTTATACTTTTTCACCTGTAAGCAAGCAAGATATATAAGAGCATTAATAGTATAGGAATTAATGTTTCCAAGTTAACAAAAGATGGACCACCCAACCCTCCCAGTACCCACAGACAAAAGCATTGTGGCAGACTGCTCATCTTCTACTGGGGTTCCTTGCTCACACAAGGAACACTGGGAGGATTAAATCATCCTCGATAGCTCAGAGGATAGTCTTTTAGCAGGTGCTTTACAAAGTGGTGGCTGACTGAGGTCAAGCCCAAAACTTCCCTTCATCCATGAAAGGATTTAGGGGTGGTAAGTTTTAAGGTACATAGAGTGCGGAAAGGATCCAGAGCCCAGCCTGGGGAGGCCTTGGGGGAGCACTAAAATGGTGGCCAAGAGGGTATGACAGGCTTCATAGAAATCAGGAGTGTTAAGCTATAGCCTTGATCTCTCAAACAGGCCACCAGAGGGAGAGTGAATTTCAGCTCTGTTAATAAGATATTCAGCCTAGGACGTGTCTGAATTACCGTAGCACCACAGATTCATCCTTCTAATAAATTAACACCCTTCCTCACACTTCCAGTTCTTCTTTTATTCTCACCCTCACACTTCTCACGCCACCACATCCCTACATACACTGAGGAGGGTCCCAAACACAACCATGACATAGTCCCTTGGAGGGGGCAGAGAAGAGCGCAGACACAGACACATCACAATTGTCCTTCTGCCACCACCACCACCGCTACCATCTTTCCAGAGCACATAGAACGCTCATGGGAAGGACACACTCCAGGTTACCTACATAACTTCAGCCAGGCCTATCCCAGTTTGTCTATGGTGTACCTGAGAATTCCTCTCCAACTACCAATACAGATCAGCCCTCTAAATTACCTTTCTTCTCTTTAAATATCTTTGTCGAATGTTAATTCTCTAAGTTTGAAGTGACAGAGCCATTACTTATATGGCAGCTCTACCAGCTCCCCTTTTCATTGCTGACTTCTTCTAGGTTTTCCGTAGCCTGTCTAAAGGGATCATAAGATCATAAATAGCAGAGAATCTTCACGTGGCCACCCTCCACTCTGAAGGGCCCCATTCTCCCTGCTACATGAATAGGACCCAACTCTAAAATCTGTTCTGAATCTGTTACATTTGTAAAGTGCTTAGCACAGTGCTTGGCATAGAGCTGGCATTTAATAAATGCTTGTTTTCTCCCCTCCCCAATTTTTTTCTCCAAGAGAAAGCATTCTTCCCTATATGCCCCAAAGGAAAAAACAACCAAGGCCTGCAAACATCTCCCCTGCTTAGCATGCTGGGCAGCACTTCAGTAATCTATGGTTTTCTGCTAGGTTATCAAGGGCATGTAGGAAAAACTTCTTAGAAGATACCTTTGCCCCACACAGTATACATCTTTCTATTGGTTTTCCTTCTTGCCCTGCTCCCTTTAGAAGGCTGAGTAACCCTAAAAACCACTCTTAACACTTCTTCTGCCCTCATTGTACCTTCAAAATACCTTGTAGCATCAAGGCTCACTACATTTAGCCAGCCCCAGACCCCTAAACTAGGCCATGCTTCACATCCCATCTAGCTATCCATCCCAGTCATCTTGCCATCTACCCTGCTTCTATCTACCCAAAATGATACCTCCAAACCAGACCATGAGGCAGAGGGAGAAGTACAGGACGAATGGGTGGGGGAAGTGTCTCCAGTCTCTAGGGGTCCTGAAACCAAAAAGTTTGAGAACCACTGATATAGGGAATTACCTGACGAGGAAATTCCCTCTACCAAAGCAGGTCAGCATCTTCTCCACAAATTTTAGTCTTAGAGAGTTGCCTAAAACACTGAGAGGTGGAGGGACTTGTCCAGAGTCACACAGCCAGTATAGGTGAGAGGCACGTCTTGAACCCAAGTTTTCCTGGTTTTGAAATTAGTTCTATATCTACACAGTGCCACCTTACTTCACCTTAAATATCCTCAACTCAATGTTCATCTCTGAAATGCTGGCATAGCTATTCACAAAGCAGATTCACTTGCTCCTTTCCACTTTCCTGTTCAATGCTGCTCCAGACTCTCTTGGAATCCCCTGGTGAAAATATATCGAGGGCGGTGCATGCAGGGCAGTGCCACTAATGCCCTCTTCTTCCCTCATGCCCCATTCCCCTTAGCATACATAGGGACACAGAAGAGGGCTGAAGAGAGCATTTCTCTAGTACATCATTTTGCCCTGGGTAAAATGGGGACAGATGGTACCTAATACACCCAGAAGGGTGGCACAAGAAGGGCATGGCAGTAAATATTGCCAGCATCCTTGCTCCTCAGGAAATATTATTTTGAAGTTTCCTTAATCTTGGCATTGGGAAATTCTGCCATGTGGGTGATCCCTGGTTAGGTAAGTAAAGAAATGACTAAGAATTTCCTAATTCTTACCTTGTCAGGTGCTTCATAAGCCATATTTCCTAAGCCTTTAATTGCCATGTGACGCCTTTTGGTGTTGGAATCTCGAGCCCTTTCTGCCAAAAGGTAAAATACGTTCTTCAGGGGCTCCCGGTTATGGAGCCTGAACTTCCATGATATCTGTAAATCAACACACTCATTAGGCCTCGGCTGAGGTTGAATCAATCATTCATCAGTTGCAATGACAAAATATGAAATAAGAAATATAAATGAAAAGCAGTATGATGTAATAGAAGGAGTTCTGAACTGGAAGGAGTCAAGAAGCCTAGTTTCTGGTCCTGGTTAAGGAATGTTTGGTCCAGTTTATATAAATGTTGGTTCCCTTCCTTCCCCAGTCCCCCAGGTACCTAACACAAGTGCCTAGAACATTGTAGCTGCTTCATAAGTGTTTGTTGAATTAAAGTAAATTAACTCTGGACTTTCAAGCACTTGCCAACAAAAAGAGATTTGGGGGGTTAATTAGGATAGTGCCTTCCTGATACCCTAAAACCATACCAGGGCTAAGGTAAGCCCTATTCTCTAAAACTGCCCAACCATCAGAAACCAAGAAATTGGACCCACATTCCTTAAGGCTTATAGTGCCATTCTATGAGAAGAAAATGTTAAGCTGAAGGGATGTGATAACATAATATCTCTGCAAACTTTGAAAAGTATAAAATTGTGATGACTGCAGGCATGAAAAGTTTGGATTTATAAGACTAATATCTCAGAGGATGTTTATTTCTTCTTAAAGTCTTATGTCTAAAATCCAGACAGTTACCACCAAGTGGATCCAACCCAGTGGTATTCACATGGGAAAAAGTGGGTTGGTGTTATTGCAATTAATTCTCTGATTTATACCCCCAAGTAAGGCTATTGGCAATATGTGTAGGGGGTCTCAGTTTACCCAAATGACATAAAGAGGCATTCTTCCTTCCACATGGGGAAGCACTAAGCCTAAGAAGGAACCCCAAGGAGCAAATAAAAACCGCTGTCCTAGGCCTATCCTTCCTTTCTCTGACTCGAACCTTGGAAAAGAAAGACTTTCGAGATATCCTTTGCTTCTTAGTTTGAGAGCTGGGTTCAGGTAGATGGTCACTTGGGATTTCTCTTAGTGATTGATCCATAGATCTGGAAAAGAAAAATCACCATATGAATCCCAGAAAGTACACTCCAAAATCCTGTAGAATATTTACTGGCACTGGGCCACATGCTGGGAGTACAAAGTACAAAGGAAAAATTCTATACATTATGTAACACGCACAAAGCTGAATAGAGATTTAGTTCTGCTCCAGCACCACCATCCCGTACTTAGCCAAAATAAGTGCTCCAGCATAATGTAGCTGAGGAGGTTCCAGGAGAGCCCAACTGCTTTTCTCCTCAAGCCGAAAAGACATTATCTTTCTTGCAGCCTGGTCTGGCTTGCCCTCAGGCACCTCAAAAGGGAAACTAAAATAAAAAATACAAAGTCACACTTGCTATCAGCAGGGGAAAAGTCACTGATAAGCAATACTGTTACATGATATCTACCCCAGTTGACTTATCCAACCCAAGATTTCCAACAATCATGTTGTTGGCACATACCTACCATGTGCCAGGCACTGTGCTAAGCTCTGATGGTACAAAAAGAGGCAAAAAGAGAGTCCCTGGGTCAAGGAGCTCACAATCTAGTTTCCTCCTTTAACTTAAAGGTTAGCCAACAATAATGCCCATGAAGAAAAGCAGACCACCTATCATCACTATGTCAGAAGTCCCCACAATGAAGAGTTTGTTTTCGCTCTTACCAAGACAAAGCATTCACAAGTATCTCTATTTGAGCTCTTTCTGAATTGTCAGCCTATGCTCCCCTGAAACCTCTTGTGGATCAGGGTGAAAGCTCTGGGTCAGCCCTGACAAGATACCTGACAAATAGCATGGGTTTGCTCAGAAGGACTGCAACAATTCCCTCCAACTGTGGATATTCCAATAAGGAGATGGCATTGCTCATGATAACAAAGCTCAGTTTTCTCTGGTCCATGTCAAGGAGACACAGGAAAATTCTGCCTGTCACTGCTGTCAGCTGGGGAAGGAAACAAACACAAGTTACCAACGGTTTTTTCATCCTTTTGGCCTCTTGCATAATTTGATCAGAAGCTAGCAGCCTCTGGCCATAAACAAGTGACTGCTTTCCTGTGTTTCAGAGGGTGAAAATTCAGACAGACAGCACTTCTAAATTCTATCCTGAGGCCTGATGACAAGCATGGGCACCAGAGAAGTGTGACATGAATGAGAGAGGAGCTGAAAAGTGGAAAAGATTCAATTAGGGAAGAGAACTATGAGGTCCTCACCTCTCTCCCATGATTGACATCTGTAGCTTCATTGAGCCATGTGACACCAGATCTGAGACTGTCTAAATCCTGGCAGAATCTTAGGGCTGACCTCAGTCCTTGGTGTAGGAAGCTCTAGAAGTAAGATAAGTCCAGAATAATGGGAGTATCTGCTACCTGAGCTCAGAGCCAGTCTAAAACCCTGCCCTTAAAGAGTCAGGTTTGCCTAGATTTTGAGCAGAAAGGAACTTTAAAGACCATGTAGTTTAACTCCCTCATTTTAGAGATGAGGGAATTGAAGTGACCAGGCTATAGTCATACAGGTAGTAAGTAGCAGAATCAGGATTCAAACCCAGGTCTTCTGATTCCAAATGCAGCATTCTTTCTACTTGTACTATGCTGAGTTTAGCTAGATGGGCTACTGATTGGTGCATAAGAAGAGCAGGCTGAGCAACAAGGGGCAAAGGGAATAAACATTTATTAAGTGTCTCCTATGTGCCAGGCACTGTGCTAAGCTATATGTATGTGTGTGTGTGCGTATGTATGTATATATGTGTATACACACATACACACACACACACACACACCCTTTACCTCTCAGCTCCTGCTAGATTAGGACTTCTCTCACACAGGACTCACTTGTCATAATACTCTCTATTCCTCCTCTCACCAAGCACCATTCTTCTCTTGCTTCTTCCAAACCTTTCCCAGACTAACTCTGCCTAACTCTGGTCAACCCAAGCACTGCAAATAGCCCAGTGCCTGAATACATATCTGAATTGTTATCAGTGTTTATAGGGATACAAACACACACACACACACACACACACACACACACACACCCCTGTGGTCGATATCCAAGTGTATCTCCATGAGCATCACTCCTGAATCTGACTTTAAATTGTAGCTTCCTTTTGACACTTGGCTATTAACTCTTCTGCATCTCCCAAGCGTCCTTGGCTTAGTCATTCTCCTTTTTCATCATTGGCAAAAGAGATTGGCTGATTTCTAAGGTCCCTTCCTATAAATCTTTAATTCTAATGATTCTGCCTATAGCCCTTACTATAGGACTCTAAACACAGGAGATAATCACAAAATATTTTCTGAATGACAAGCTAGAAATATCATGGTGAAAGTAAGCCCCCTCCCCCATAACATCTTGACATTCCAGCTCTACTTGTTGATTCTGTATAATAATCGGTATTTATGCAACTAATGGGGAAAGGGTAAGGGATATAAGATTCATAAGTCAGATTCTCTTTATAAAGACCAGCACTTTACCATAACCCTACCAGGATTTGGAAAGGCTTTGCAATGCACCTGAAGGGGAGTATTCTGTTCCCTCATAAACAAGTCAACTTTTTTTTTTAGGATAGGCAACGGGGGTGACTTGCCCAGGGTCACACAGCTAGTAAGTGTTATGTGTCTGAGGCCAAATTTGAACTCAGGTCCCCCTGAATCTGGGGTCAGTGCTCTATCCACTGCACCACCTAGCTGTCCACAAGTCAACTTTTAACAACTGTGTGTGGATTCAACAAACCAGCCCCTAGTTCTTACCCCCAGTTCCCAGATCCTGGGCTGGCTGGTTGTGATGTGATGAGTTCCTGCAGGAGCTCCCATGGAGAACTGCCTCATAGTTACTCTTGAGATGACCCGATGAGTTCCGCTTGGGTAGCTAAATGTGATGACTTCATATAATTTCCCCATCCCTGCATTTAAAATACAGAAGAAAGAGTATTTTGAAAGGGAGCTTTGATAGCTGAATTAATGTTCCTCACTAGGCTGGCCAAGAGGTCAAAAGCCCAGTTGTGCCCAGTTCTCAGGAGTTCTCTGAGTTGTCCTGGAGTTCTCAGGCAATTGAACCTCCCTTAGCAGTGCTAAGATGCTCCTTCTCTTCCCTTGGCTCTACCATCCCTTTCTTTGAGTCTCACTAACTCTTTCTAAACCAGAGTTCAGCAAAGTACCCTGTGCGTAGCTGTTTCTTCACGAAGGCACAAGATGGCAGCAACATCTTACTAAACCACATCAGGGATGCTAGAAAACCCCCAAAGTTTGTGCTAGAACTCCCTTCTCATAACCTAGTTGGAGGAGAATTTAATTTACGAAAGAGGACACTGAGTGCCCTGATGGTTACTTAGTGTGACCAACCATTGTAAAAAGAACCAGAGCTTTAAAATCCGGAATCTCTTCCATTTCTCCCCCATGAATTATAAAGGATAGAATGAAATAGATTAGAGGGCAGGAAAAAAAATTAAGAGCTGTTAGAGTAATTTGGATTTCATGAGGGCCTGAACTAGGGTGATATCACTGGCAATGGAGAGGGAAAGAAAAGTCCATAGTTGGAAAGAAGAGTTGGAAGAAGGAATGGGATTGATCACTGAGGTGTGAGAAGGAGAAGGAGTCAATGATGATTCCAAGGTTTGGGAGACTAGAAGAACATTTTATAATTTAAAAAATTATAAAATTAGGAAGGAGAATCTAGTTGGGAGATAAATAGAGGGAGATGATGAGTTTGGGTCTTCTTGTGGTCTGAATCTATGACTTCATTTGTGTAGGGAATTCCAGTGAGGAAATTCTCTTTACTAATTCAGATCAGCAAGTGTTCAGTAATTTATGGACTTGGAGAGCTATCTAGAACACTGAGAGGTTAAGTAACTTGGCCAAGGTCATGCAGTCAGTGGGTGTCAGAGGCCCAATTTAAACCCTGCACTTCCTGACTCTGGTTCTCTATCTACTACCAGATGTTGGCTGCTTCTCATGCATTTGGTTCTAAATATTTGAACAATATTTAAAAGAATCTCAGAACCCAACACCTCAAATTTTACAAGCAATTTAGGACCAGAGAGGTTAAGAAAGTTGCCCAAATTCACGTTTAATTTGAAATAATGATGGAATATACTATTAGACATATCAGGTTGGGGCTAGAGATGTAGATTAGTGAGTTAGCAGCACGAGCTTCATTGAAGCCACAAGTGAAGATGATAACTTTTAATGAATGAAGATAGAAAAAGGTGGAGAATTAAACACAGTTAAGAGGTAAGAGGAAGAAGAATAGAAAAAAAAGAGATAACAAAGTAGAACTAGTGCAGTGTAGTATTACATAAAACAGAAGAAATGGCTACAAAGAGATGAGACAGGGCAGGGATGTGGGGGCCCCTGAAAATACTGCTGACAAAATGCTACTGTCAAAGAGGAGAATTTGGGATCCAGCTAGAAGGGACTTTGAAAAGTACTATTTTAGTACTACAGCGTTGAATGACACTAGCTTTTAAAACTTTAAGGAATGGGTGGTTATGATTGTTTACTTACTTGATAAGTCTGGCAGCAACAGATTCAATAACAACAATTCAGCAAATATTCATTATGTGCCTACTAATTGAAAGCCATCGCTTTTATTTAGCAGATTCCCATGCTAGGTGCAGGAGTAAGTCATTTCACAGATGAGAAAATAGAGGCAAACAAGGTTGCCAGGATAACATAAGTAGTGTCTGAGGCTGGATTTGAACTCAGGTCTTTCTGACTCCAGGCCTGGCACTCTATCCACTGTTTCACCTAGTTGTCCCAATGGCCTTTAGGAAGGACATTGATAAACTGGAGGGTGTACAGAGGAAGGGAATCCAGGGTGGTAAAGAACTATATCAGTTGAAGAAACAGGGATGGTTTAACCTGGAGAAGACTTAGTGGAATAGCTGTTTTCAAGTGTTTAAAAGACTGTCACACAGAAAGAGGACTAGACTTTGTCTGCTTGCTCACAGAGGAAGAGCTAAGAGCCTCATGAAGTGTTAGAGCAATGTAATGAAAAACTTGCCAACAATTAGAACTACTCCCAACATGGAATGAATGAGCTGCCTGGGGAGGGAGGAGGAGGAGTGAGGCCCCTCCCTCACTCTTCCACTGAAGGCTGGGTGCTACCTAATTGGTGATGTTGTAGAAGTGACTCCTATCTGGTATGGGGGCAAACAGACGGCCACTGAGGTCCCTTTGCACCCTGAGAGTCTGTAATTTCGGGCCCAACTCAGATGCCATCTCTTCCTCCCTCATCCCTATGTGAAAGTGATCTCTCCTTCCCTCCTCCCATTTCTCACAGTATTTGCCTGCTTCTCCCTTCTGTGCTTCTCTTGCTCTCCCTTATACCCAAGGTTATTCATGCACTTTCTCCTTGTCCTTGTTACTCTCACCCCCCTTTTAATTAAGCAGTAAACTCCTTGACAATAAGATCTGTGTCATAGCTCTCTTTGTTTCCTCAGTGCCTAGACCTTCATAAATGTGAAAGAAGTTGGATTGACTAGAAGAAACAAGGTTTCTTCCCCCTTTCACTCCACCCCCATCTAATCCATGGGGAAATGAAAATGGATAGCCATCTGTCTCCTTTTGTGGCTTATGGCCACAGAGAAATCCAGAGTCAGCTCCTGGATTAGTACTAGGATGTCCTTTCTGATCCCTGCTATGGGCATTACTATTTTTGACGCTGCAAACATATTCAAGATTTCTGCGAGGTGAAAGGGAGTTAATTAATAGCCTCAGATAAGATGCAGACACAACACCAGCACGGGAAGAACCAAAATGAAGGTTTAAGGCCCAAGGGAATCTAATGTTTTCACTAAGTGGCTCCCAGCCCTTTAAAGTACTTCTTTCTTCCTGCTCTGCTTTGAGTCTGAAGCCAAATATGACTCTGCTTAGGGAGGGAGATGCCTTCTTTGATCACTTTATAGCATCATATTCATTTCATAATGGCATTATGTCCTTAGAATTAGGCACTGCCATTTTCTCCATGACCTTATTTTTCATCATTGATGATCACCAACAACATGCATGTAGCCCATTGGGCCAAGGACATGTATTTAGATGCAACCCATTTTCTTACAGAGTTGCTATTAGTGGTGAAAAAGAACAAACTATTACATTCGTAAACAATTCTTCCCTGTTGATCTAAGAGCTAGTGACAAATCACCAGGACAGAGTCTCCCTGAAATACTTTCAGAATAGCCTCTCTGCAGATGTGTTTGTGTCTGACTAGCTAAGGAATTGTCCCAAGGCTATTTTGGACCCCTCCTTTGAGATGTTTTTTTTTTCAGTCAACACCCCAATCTGGGCCAAGTCCTCCCTTCATTTACCCTTCAAAACATAAGAAAGATCTGCCATTTCTCCTTCACAGACCTTCATAGTATTCATTTCTCTCTCTGATAACCTTGGCTTTCCTGCTCAGATTCATACCAGCTAAAAATAAAAAATAAAAAGTCCTTGCAAAATGTCCCTTGCTTACCACTGGCACCTCATGACTCCACATTCCTTCCTTCCTTCCTTCACTCCTTTTCCCACCCTCTTCACCTTCAATTCAAATTCTTCATTCTGTTTCAAGGCCCTGAACAGCTACAACTCCATAACTCCATTTGTGCCTAGAGATAGCTGATTCTTCCTTCACTTTCTCTTTTCCACTGCCCTAGCTGGGTTTGGTAATGGTCCCATTCCTAGTCATGCTAAAGGTGTGCCGCCACCACACTTGTTGTGATGGGACCACAGTGCCTTTGATACTTCTTCCACAACCACTTCTCTACCGCCTCAGAGCTCTGTGACTTGGAGCAGGGGTGAGAGAGAGGAGGAGAGAAGGAAGAGTGTGTGTGTGTGTGTGTGTGTGTGTGTGTGTGTGTGTGAGAGAGAGAGAGAGAGAGAGAGAGAATGTGTGTGTGTGAGAGAGAGAGAGAGAGAATGAGACAGTGAGAGAATGTATGCGTGTGTGAGAGAAAGTGAGAGAGACAGAATGAGAGACAGTGTATGTGTGTGTGTGAGGGTGTAAGAAAGAGAATGAGACAGTGAAAGAGTGTATATGTGTGTGAGAGTGAGAGAGACAGAATGAGAGACAGTGTATGTGTGTATGAGAGAGAGAATGTGTGTGAGAGTGTGTAAGAGAGAAAGAGAGGAGGAGAGAGACAGATATTGGGGAGGGGAGATGAGCAGATGCGGGGGGGGGGGAATATGCACCAAAAATCCTTAACCTGCTCCTGTGAAAAACAACATTCTGCTTTCTTGTTTTCATTTTCTAATCTTCTTATTTTAAATGCCTCCTAAAACAGCCAAACTTGTTTATTCTTGTCCCTGTCTCCCCCACAATGTCCCATCTACCCACTTTTCCTCAAGCTTCTACTTATTCTGCTCCCTGGGCCTGCAATGCCCTGCTTCCTCCTCTTCAGATTCGAATTCCTACCCATTCTCTAAAGTCCAAATCAAAAGTCAAGTCTTCAGGAGGCCTTCACTGCTCTCACTCTCCTCAACATTCTGTGCAGTCATGCCTTGTTATGACTTTCCTCCCCAGAACTCGGTCTCCCCAAGCACTTTGTCTTACAGCTCTCCATTGTGCTTATCATATAATATTGTGTAAAATAACTATGTGGTTGGGTCATCCCCCCCCCCCCCCCCCCCCCCCGGTGACGGTTAAGTACATGAGGAAAGGGGCCAAGTCTTATTTAATCGTTGTATCTGCTCCAGGGCCTAACACAGGGTTCTGAGCATAGAAGGTATATTTGTTGAATGGATGCATTTTAAATGACTATTTGAAGCATTTGGTTTACATGTTGTAGGATTATCAGTTCCTGTGGGACATCATCTAGTAATATAGTATGTAGTTATGCAGGCAGAGCTAGGATTTCATTGGTGTGGATAAGAATAATTGACAGGTACATGGCACTTTTCATACTTTAGCCCACTTGACCATCACAGACAACCCTGAGGCAGAGATGATGAGTGTTTTTCTACTCAGTCTTACAGATGAGGAAACTGAGACTCCAGGCAGTTAAGTGATTAGCAAGTGCCAGAGGCAGGATCTGAAGCCAGATCTCTCTAACTCCAGGTTGAATAAGCACTAAATCCACTAAAGGAGGCTGCCTCTCAGTATTCCTTCCATCCTTGAAGACTACCATCCCTCTACTACACTGTCTTAAAACCTTTCAGAAGTTCCTGGGAAGAAAAGAAAAACATTATCCAGGCAGTGAGCCTCCTGGTACAGTGTTTCTTTAACCTTAGCTAGGATCTTCCTTTGACCACAGACATGCAGTCTTTTGCCAACAATTTGTTGGAGTGAAGGACAGAAATGTAACTAGAAATCATAGACATAATTAGAGGACAAATAGGACATTTCCCTTCCTAGCAAAGCCTGCTGCCTGCTACCTTTGAGAACAACAACAAAAATCCAAATATGCACACAGTTATCTTATCAAACAAAATTCTCCTAAAAACCTCAGCTTAGCAAATGACTTTTTTAGGACAACACAGAGTCTTTGTTCTCCCATCCTGTTTTGTTCTCCAATTCTACTTCCAATTTGAAAGCGGTTTTTAGTGTTTTACTAGAGAATTCCATTTTTTAAAATAGCTTAGTAAAACTTCATTAATTGACCTTAACTTGAGGAAGAGGTCACTCTGAATGAGTAAAGAATCTCAAGTAAAGAATATTTTTGTAATCCTAGAACACAAGAACTGAGTAGAATTTAAAGACCACTCAACCCCAACCCTAGTATTTTTAAATGAGATTATTTCAAAAGCCCCTTCCAATTCTCAATTCCTATGCATATTCCTGGGGCAGCTAAGTGGTGAAGCAGATGGAGTACCCAGCCTGAAGTCAGGAAAACTCATTTTCCTGTATCTAAAGCTGGCCTCAGTTAGTAGCAGCATGATCCTAGGCAAGTCACTTAACCCTGTCTGCCTCAGTTTCTTCATCTGTAAAATGAGCTGGAGAAAGAAATGGCAAACCACTCCAGTATCTTTGCCAAGAAAACCCCAAATGAGGTCATGAAGAATCAGATACAACTGAACAACAACAAAAATGCATATTCCTTAAAAATTTAGGCTTCTTATTTTTGGATACATTCAGTAACTGGAACTAGGCTAATGGATTGATTTAGTGAATAAATAATGATTCATTTTAACTAACATACAATTGTTGATAAATGAGTTTGTCTAAATTAAAGACTGGGGCATCTTCAATTCAATTCATTGTCTTGTCTTAAACATTTTTCTCTGCAATATGGCTTCTACTACTACTATTACTATCACTACTACTACTACTACTACTGCTCATAAATAAACAATAAATTGCATTCCATTTACTACTAAAATAATTACAAATTCTAAATTCATGAAACCCAAATGAATGAGGTTTGCCTCTATGTACTCTAAGCCTTGAAGATCTCAAACTGAAACTTCTATAGTCAGTCAAGGGACCTGAATTAAAGTTTTATCTCTGCTACTTACATGTGTGACCTCAAGTGAATTGCTTCACTTCTCTGGGCCTCAGTTCTCCCTCAGCCAAATGAGAAGATTGGATTAGATTATCTCTAAGGTCTCTTCCAGTTTAAGATGTTATAATTCCATAAATTAGTAAACCCAACTGCAGCAGAGCAGTTCCAAGTTCCCTTTGGATTAGTCAGGATTCCTTGATCTTTATTGCTGACTACTTATTCTTCCAGGCAGTATGGTAGAGATAAGACAGCAATTGACAGGTCCAAGAGATTAGGCTTCTAGCTGTGGTTTTACCACTGTGTGACCTTGGATTTGTTCCTTAACATCCTCAACCTTACTTTTCCTCATAGGGAGAATGACCGGCTTGGACTTCCTCACCTCCAAGGTCTATGATCACTCTATAATTCTATGATCAGAGAGGAAAACAAGCTTATATATTTATCACCATAGCTGGTGAAATCTATAGAAAACAATCAACTATTTTAAACTACTAATAGTAACATATCCTTTTAAATCAAGAAATGCTTATGGCTCTTCCTGGCTTCCAAGCTCCACAGAATGCTTACCTTAGGTAGTTCTCAACCACGTATATGGATGGTATCAACTATTTCTGCCACAGTGCTTACCCTGATGAGTGCTGGATGGAATGAGAACCACAAAGATCTCTGTTCTTGTGGGGGCAGACCACAGGGCTGCAGTTGTCCTTGAAAAAGAAACATAGAACAGATCAGAGTTTTATCACAATAGAAAAAATGCCTCAGAAAAAAACTTTGCAGGCTGTTTGACACAGCTAATTGCTAGAAAGCATTTATTTGCAGGCATTGGGATATCACAATATTTAAACAACTGTTTTAATTGCCTATGGCTGGAGGTGGCCTGTAGGTGAGAGCTCTAGGTATCCTCTGATGAGAAATAATTGGGTCGGTACCTGGGTGGCACAGAGCTGAGACTCAAACATGGCATAATATAAAAGTTTACCAGAGCAAGTTCTGAGGATTCAAAGTGGATAAAAAGAACAAACAAAAACACATTATGTTGTATTTACAGTACAAGGTTTCAAAACATTGGCACATCTGATAATCCATTTTATCCTAGAAATAATTCTGGGGGGGGAGGGGCAGCTAGGTGGCACAGTGGCTAGAGCACCAGCCCTGGAGTCTGGAGGTCTCAAGCCAGACACTTGACACTTACTAGCTGTGTGACCCTGGGCAAGTCACTTAAATCCAATTGCCTCACCATAAAAAAGAAATAATCCTGGGAGCTATAAACAGTAGTAACATCATCTCTATTTCTCATGGCACTGAGTGACTTGACTAAGGATTGCATAGCTAGTTAAAGGCAGAACTGAGTCTAAAACCCAGGTGTCCTGACTTCTGGTCCTGCACAGATATTTCTGAAAGGTGGCATTTCTTAGCACCAAGCAATCTGTGTCCCTGAAGCCACTCATTCATACCTGAAACAAACAGCAGTACTCTATTACTCAGCCATATTTGATTCAGTTTTCCTTTCTCCTTTTTCTCACCTCTTCCGGTTACATACTCCTTTTCTTTTTTTTCACTCTTACTTTTCTCCTCCCCTATCTATACTGTGGACCTCCTACAAACAACTCTAGATATGCGACCCAGCTCTCTTTATGATGCACAGAGCTAATGAGATAGCAGCCTTCCATCCTTCCACAAGTAATCAGTGCCTCATTGATAACAGTTTCAACTCAGCAGAACAAGATGCTACCCCAACCCCAACACCTTAAACTCTCTCCCCACCCCCGCTCCTCCCACCCCCTCACTTTCTTTTTTTAAAAATTTTTGTCCTTATTTTATTATAAGACATTCTCTGACATCAGAACAATAATTCTTGACACTAGGGATTGCATTATTTATGCCTCTCATTTTCACGTGGTCCTATGTATTTTTCCCCATAGGAACTTGGTTATCTTTAAAATCTATAACAAAAATGAACACTTCTCTTCAAAATAACAAATGCTCTCTGTAACTAATGGGATTTTAGCATTAGATGATGTTAGTATCTCAATTACCCTCTACATAAAAATGAGAAAAAAACACAAACTATTTACTAACCCAATTTCCTTTTCAAATTTGTAGTTTAATTTTTAAACTAGAAAAGTAAGGCTGGACATAGTGCAGAAATTACGTTTGGGAAAACATTTTACTACAAGCAAGTACATGTTATGTGACAAGGCAAAAGATGTCCAGAAGAATTAGTTACCCAATGGAGACAGTAAAGTAGGACGTTAGCCTGTTTCTTCCCCTGCTCCCATTAAAACCCACCCCTCATTTTCAAGCTTCCTTTTGGGTTTGTATTTCCCCATTAGATTGTAAATTCCTTGAGGACAAGGACTGTTCTTTTTCTCATTTATATCCCTAGCACTTAGCAGAGTGCCTATCATACAGTAGATGCTTAATAAATGTTCATTGAATTTAATTTAGTAACACTCCAAATTAAGCTTCAAGACAGAAAAACTTCTCTCAGCCTCAGGCCCAGCCTGTGACATTCATTGTTCTTCATTGCTAAAGAAAAATTTTTCTCCCACTTTTTAATATTTGTGTCTCCTGCCTTTAAGCACAGTGGTTGTAGATGTTATACACATTTGTGCACTGTTATAATAAGTTTTTAGATAGTAAGGAGCTCGGCTAATTGAACTAATGATCTAGCAATTCTGACTCAAAAGCAAATGCTACTGGCAAAAAAAAAAAAATCAATGAAAAATGAAGTGGAGACAGTTATTTTAGGGGCAGCTAGGTGGTGCAGTGGATAGAGCACCAGCCCTACAATCAGGAGGACCCAAGTTCAAATATGGCCTCAGACCAAACACTTGACACTTACTAGCTATGTGACCTTGGGCAAGTCACTTAACCCCAATTGTCTAAAAAAAAAAACCAAAGGGGGAGAGTTGCATAGTAAGAAGAGATGAAAAGCTGGGAGATCTAGATTAGAGCCTTGGCTCTAGCTATACCTCAAGTCTGAAGTAGTCTTCCTACGTATTAGATTATATGAAGACTTCTAGCTACAGACCATAAGACAATTTTCGCAATAGATATAAAATGTGAAAAAGATCTTGTGCATGTATAGGTCTTGTCATCCACCCTTGCTTGTCACTTAACCTCTCTGTGCTTCAGTTTCCTCGTCCACAAAATAGGGGATAAATGAAATTTATACCACCTAGCTCACAGGGGCATTGTAAAAGAATCAAAAGAAGAAATGTATGTGAAGCACTTCATAGCCAGATAGCTATTATTACCAGATCCTAAATGTTGCTTATATAAGAGCAAATCTATTCTGTAGCCTCCTTGCTGTTCCTGGTATGACACTCCACCTCCTGACTCTGGGCTTCTTCGCTGACTGTCCCTCATGCCGGGAATTCTCTCCTTCTTCATCTCTGCCCTTCTGGATTCCCTGGCTTCCTTCAAGTTCCAGCTAAGGTCCCAAGGCTAAGGTTTGGGAGGCCTTTCTTGATCGCTCTTAGTGCAAGTGTCTTCCCTCTGTTGATTATCTCCAGTTTGTCTGTATATATATATTTATACCTTGCTTGCATGTTGTTATAGTTCTGGCTCCTTGAGAGCAGCGATTGCTTTTTGCTTTTCTTTGGATTCCTGGCACTCAGCATAGTGCCTGGCACTATGTAGGTGCTTACTAAATGCTCATTGATAACACTGTAGGAGAGTGAAAACCAAGAAAGTAGTTTATAAAAAATATCTTCATCTTTTACTATATAGGAAATAAATAGTAAATCTATAGCTAAAATCATACCTGCAAGAAGCCTTTTGTGATCCCCTTTGTTGCTAAGGTCTTCCTCATTAGATTATCACCAGTTTATCCTATTTTTCCTAAGTACATAGATGTTTGTATGTTTTCTCTCCCCTGTTAGACTGGTTTTTGTCTTTCTTTGAATCCCCAGCTTTCAGCACGATGTCTGGCATATAGTAGGCACTTAATAAGTGTTTATTGTAGTGTTTATTGAATGGACTTAGGGTGTATGGGATGTTCAGGACAAGACTAGCACGTCTGGTTTAAGAGCTTGCTGAACCCTTTTCAGGGATGCTCATCCACCTTTGGTGTCCAACTTTTACCTAACCTGTGGCCACATCACCGGTGGCTCCAAGAAGCTGTAGTAGGCACAGCGGCCACACCCCAGTAAAACCTCAGTCTCAGCAGATGGGCTAAACCAGGTTGAGGGTAACCAACAGGCCTCAATCCTGTTGTTGAGTTAGGGGGATGTCTAACCCAAGCATGTGAAGACTTCCCCTGGAGCAATGGGTGGATGAGAACAATTTATTCCAAAAGCCATGAAGGCAGCTGAAGCAGGTACTATGGAGTCCTTAGAGCCCGGTCAGACATCAAAGATACCAAGGTCATCCACTGTATCCCAGGCCATCGCTAGTCATCTTGACTTTTGTCCTGCCACTGGATGTCAATGACTCTGGATGAAAAAATAAGGCTAACAATTTTGTGCAAGTCTGCCTTACTTCAATTCACCTGCAAGTCAAGACACCACCTGTGATGGCATTGATCCTCTTCAAAAACAAAGGGTCAAGTACAATATCCATGTTATGGATTTTTCCTGGTGTGGTAAGAGAGGTTCTATAGCAATATATGTATGCGTGTATGTATATGTATGGGTGGGTATATGTGTATGTGTGTGTGTGTGTGTGTGTGTGTGTGTGTGTGTGTGTAAAATCTGTACATCCAATACATGCCATCTCAGTAAGGAATGACTTTCAACTCTGGAGCTAAGCAAAAAGTTATATATATATAGAATTAATTGGAAATAATCAACAGAGAGAAGGCAATAAAATTATGAGGGATCAGGAAAAGGTGATTTTAGCTAAGAGTTAAAAGAAGCCAGGGAAGCCAGGAGGCAAAGATGAGGAGGCAGAGCATCCCTGATATGGGAGACATTCAATGAAAATTTCCATCTCTTAAATACATTTCTTAGCCTTTTACAACATGTGGCATGGTGCAAGATTGTGTTGTAATATTCTAACTTGATTTCAGAATTTCTATAATCCCAGAATAATTCTGTTTCTCCTTTTATCAATATATTTATCAGAGTTTATTATTTTTTTTAATGGGGTCAAGTCTTCCAGTCACATTGGAAGTAAAAATCCCCAAACATTTTTGGTGGATTTTTTAATGGTATTTTCCCCAATTACATGTCAAGACAATTTTTAGCATTCATTTTTACAAGACTTTGAGTTCCAAAATTTTCCATATTTCTGTATTAGTCACAGTTATGAAAGAAGAAATATCAAAATGGAAAAAAAAACATGAAAAAGAATAAAGTAAGTGAAAAAAGTATGCTTCAATCTGCATTCAGAGTTCATCAGTTCTTTATCTGGATACGGATAGCATTTTCCTTCGCGAGTCCTTTGTACTTGTCTTGAATCATTGTGTTGCTGAGAAGAGCTCAGTCATTTATAGTTGATCATCATATAATGTTGTTGATACGGTATACGGTGTTTTCCTGGTTCTGCTCATGTCAGTTTGTACAAATCTTTCCAGGCTCTTCTGAAATCTGCCCATTCATCATTTCTTATTGCACAATAGTATTCCATTACATTCATATACCACAGCTTGTTCAGCTATTTCCCAGTTCATGAGCATCCCCTCAATTTCTAATATTTTGCCACCACAAAAAAGGCTGCTATAAATATTTTTGCATATGTAGGTCCTTTTCCCTTTTTT